TTCATATTTTCTTCGGAATTCACTAAGTTCAAAATTTAACTGAGTTACAGTTTGCCGTTCAACCTCAAGATCTTTTTTCGCATTGGCCAAGAGATAGCTGTAATATTTTTGCTTTTCTTCTTGGAGGTAACCTATGACAAACAATATTATAGTGGGATTTATTTCAGAAAAAAAATCACATTCCTGAAAGTTAAGCAAACACATATCTATAAACAAGGTCACATTATCTTCTCAGCTTACAAAACAAAGAGTCAAGAGATAGTAATATTATTTGATAGAAGAAGAAAGAGCTATTTGGGATTGTAAAATGGTACAACCACTCTGGAAGGTAGTGTGGCATGTCCTCAAAATGCTGACTGAACAGAGAGATTCCATATGACCCAGCTATTGTACTGCTAGGACTATCCCCCAAGGAAAACAGAACCGAGATACAAACGGAGGTTTTTGAAGCTTTGTCTGACATACTTTGGACATGTTTCAAGAACGGACTACTCCTTGGAGAGGGATATCAAGCTTGGGAGGGTGGAGGGATTGTGCAAGAGAGGAAGAACCTTGATAAAATGGATTGATTCAGTCACCGGGGCAGTGGGGGTACATGTGTCAGAGACAATAAAGATGGCACAGAATAGAGCAAAGTTTAAGGCTGTTGTACATAGGTTCGCAAATGACTTGATGGCACATAACAACAACATACTGACGTTCATAGCAGCATTATTCACAAAATCAAGAACATGGAAATAGCCCAAATATCTATCAGCAAATGACTAGATTGAGAAAATGTGGTACATTCACAAGATGAAATACTATGCAGCACTCAGGAGCACTGATTTTGAAAAATACTATATGAGAGAGGCTAGAGAACATGATGCTGAGTGAACGAAATCAGGAGCATAAGAATAAATACTGTATAAGATTATTATTGTAAAAACAGAAGGATAACCAGTGAGATGTGTAAGGGCATACAAAGAAGGAAGGAGAGGGGGTAAGATGGTTGAGGGTGAGGAAAGGGGGAAATTGCATTGCTGAAGAGTTTGGTAGGTGGAGGGAGAGAAAAAAACAACAACTCAAAAAAACCCAACCAAAATATACATGAATGAAACACAATAAAAAAAAGAGAGAGAGAGACATAGATAGTTGAGTATATTTTATGATTAAAAGATGTAATGGGAAAGTCTGCAGTTAGAAATCTCTCTAAAGTAATGAAGAGTAACGAAGTCAGTCTGGAGACTAAGGTGTACCTGATACATGCCGTGGGTCTTTGCAATCACTTGCTATGCATCAGAGAGCTGGGCAATGACTAGGGAGGATAGAAGGAGATTTGATGCCTTTGAGCTGTGGTGTTGGAGAAGAGTATTGAATATACCATGAACTGCTAAGAGAACGAACAGGTTTCTCTTGGAGACGGTGAAGTCAGGCTGCTCCTTGGAGGCAAGGATTCTGAAGCTTCATCTGATATACTTTAGACATGTTGTAAGGAGGGACCAGTCCTTGGAGAGGGCCATCATGCTTGGGAGGGTGGAGGGACAGAGCAGGAGAAGACGACCCTCGATGAAATGTATTGATTCAGTGACTGGGGTAATGGGGGTAGGTGTGTCAGAGACAATGAGATTGGCAAGGATCGAGCAGGGTTTAGGACTGTTGTACACAGGGTCGCTATGAATTGCAGGCAACTCGACAGCACATAACAATAACAACAACAACATATTTTATGAAGGCAGGACTATTCTGTGGGAAGGGGAAGTCACTGATGTCTGAAGAAAATAAACCAAGAAATAAAGATAGAAATTAAAGCAGATGTACTGAGGAGAAGGTAGAATCCTTCTGCATTAAGAGCTTACAATAAATAGTACTTGATATAATACCCACACATACAGAGACACACACAAATGAAGAGATAACTATTATTAAAGAAAAAAATTAGACATAGTCCAAAATGAAAATCCTGCTTTAATATGTACTAAACTTAGAAAGTTACTCTGGTGGTAGCTTTGTCCCTTGAAGGCTAACCAGCTGTGAATTGTCTCCAGAGTCATTCCTTTGATATTTTCTCCTTCGTATTAGCTTCATTTTAAATATTCCGATTCCAGCTCTCAGAGTCTTTAGTCTTTTTACATCATTAGAGACTTCAGTCCTGTTGGCTGCCAGCCTCTTACCAAGTGCTCTCTAAGGGGCTTTCTTTTCTTTTCCTAGCTCTTCTCCCAGAACTGCTGAAGCTATCTCCCAATTTGTAAAACAATAACAGCCCTTTCGACACCACTCTTCAGGAGTGTCCTGAATTGTTCCCTTCAGATCAATGGGAGGGAAATGGCAAAGCACATGGCCAAAAAGAGCATTGTTAGTCAGAAACACCATCTCAATTCCACACTGAGATTTAAAACTTTTAAGAATCATCTAGAGAATGTCTTTTTTGGCTCCTGAACTTAATGCCAGTGCCAAGAGAAAAGCAAAAGTACAAGGAGAAGACCAGTTCTGGGGGAACTAAAGTCCAAGAAGGACTTTGAGGGAGAGGAAGAATGCACACAGTTGGAGAAAATTTAATGTAACTTCGAAGCTACCAGAGGCTGCCCTTTTCACCTGTGCCTTTTATCAGTTAGGAAATAAGAAAGACTTGCTAAAAGGGAATTTCTTGCTGAAGGCTTGCTCTTATTTTACTTTCCAACACACGTCTGTAAGATCTAAATCTGATGAATCACTCTTTTGGAAAATGTCAGCTTTATTCTAAAAGAATATTTTCATACCAGTACCTTCTGATTCAGTTCTTTTTTTCTCCTGTGGGAGTGACTGAGCAGCTGTTTCTAACTGCTGTTCCAACTCGGAGATCCTTGCTAAAAGTCCTCTCACGTAGGCCTCCCGCTGCTGATCATACACAAGCCACTGCTGATTTTTCTCCAGCGCCTCAATGGGAAGATGAAAGAAAATCAGCAATAAGATAAAAATGTTAAAAAATTCTTAGAGTAGACAAAAGAAACTAAGTAAATTAGTCTTTTCAACACATAAAAACTTTTATAGCCCACTTAAAAAGTTAGTTAAAAAAGAGACAAATAGTAAGAAACTAGAAATAAGTGGTACAAAACAATACTTTTCTTAAGCTCTTCTTTCTATATATTAACAGGTTTTTCATGAAAGAACATTGACATTGGCCAGTAGGAATTGTACCCCTTTTATTTATAACACATGTGTTGTTGTGTGCCATTGAGTCAGAAGTTACACATAGCTGACCCTCCAGCGGGTTTTCAATCGGTAAATCATATAGGAGACTGCCTATCCTTCTTCCACGGAGTAGCTAGTGGATTCAACCTGTGGCCTTTGGGACTGCAACGTAGCTTCTTACCAATAGGCCACTATTAGTTGTTGTGGTTGCTGTGTACTGATGAGTAATAACTGTTAAAACTTCAGCAGGTTTTCAGAGGCAAATAACCACATAGAACAGACTACTGATCTTTCTCCCATGGAGCAGCTGTTAGATTCATGCTACAGTATTTCGGATCACTGGATACTGGATATACATCTGAGAACTGGTCAGTGAATAGGGGTGATAGAAGAAGAATTGATGCCTTTGACCTGTGGTGTTGGAGAAGAGCACCGAACATTCCACAGATGGCCAAAAGAACAAACAAGTATGCCTTGGAGAGGATGCAGCCAGAGTGCGCTTTGGAGGCCAAGAATAATGACACATTGCCTAACATACTCTGAGCATGTCGCTAGGAGGGGCTATTCCTTGGAAAGGGACATGATGTTAGGAAGGGTGGATGGTCAGTGAAGGAGAGGAAGACCCTCAACCAGGTAGACTGATGCGGTGACTGCCACAATGGGCTCTAGTTTGTCAGGAGGTGTAAAGATGGCATAACATAGGACAGGGTTCAGATCTTTTGTTTGTAGTGTTGCTATGAGTCGTACTAGACTCGATGGCACCTAACCACCACCACTACCACCACCACCACCTTTGGGTTGCTAGGGCTATTCCTTACCACTAGGTTACCAGAGCTCCTAGGCTACCAGTAGGACCTACTAAAAATCCACAACTCACAGTAAGACTTCAAAGAACCTGTAACCGTGTCAACAAACCTTAGATTTTTAAGAGTAGACAAGGATTTCAGCTTGTCTATTATTGGAGAGCTAGCTCTTTCAACCTTAAAATTATTCAGTACATATAGAAAAAACTCTTCCATTTTAATTTCAATCTGAAAAGACAATGTAGTACGTCTTTATAGAAGCTACTCCTCTCACACCTCTAGTGATAAGAGAAGTGTAGATGAAAGACCTGAAGTTACTGGCTGTACTTCAGGGCATCCTCTTTTGGGTAAGAACTTTCATCTTTAGAGATACTTACAGTTGAGTCTCATGTTCAGAGACTGTACTACCGAAACTCTGAGTCTACAGAGACCCTCCAAGCTTTGCTAGAGGCTTTCCACTAGAACTCTACACACTCAGGGGCAAAGCTTCTAGGCTTCATTTCCATTGTCTACTTTCTATAGTATTAGGAAATGGATCTAGGCTCAATGAGTTTTCTATGTCTATTTTCTACAGAATCAGGAAATGGATCAGGAAGATGGAGACAGACTCTGAAATCAAAGACAGTCTAACAAGTACACAATTATAACTCCAATACTTAGGGTATGGCTTAAAAGTTCATTTATCAAATGGAGATTTTGTGTTTCTATTCCATATTGTACTGAAACTGAGGAGGACCTGAAGCGCTTACTGCAGAGGGTCAAGGACTGCAGACTTCAATATGGATTGAGGCTCAATATCACGAAGACAAAGATTCTCACCGCTGGACCAATTGGCAGCATTAGGATGGATGGTGAAGAGATTGTGATTGTTCATAGCTTCAATTTGCTTGGCTCCACAGTTAACAGTCTTGGCACCAGCAGCCAGGAAATTAAAAGATATATTGCGATGAGAAAGTCTGCTGTTAGGGACCTCTCCAAAGTACTGAAGAGCAGTGGTGTCACTCTGGAGACTAAGGTACGTCTGATACAGGCCATGGTCTTTGAAATCACTTATTATGCGTCAGAGAGTTGGACAATGACTAGGGAGGATAGAAGGAGAATTGATGCCTTTGAGCTGTGGTGCTGGAGAAGAGTATTTAGGGTACCATGGACTGCTAAGAAAACAATGAGATTCATCCTAGAGAGGGTTAAACTGGGCTGCTCCTTGGAGGCAAGGATTCTGAGGCTTCGTCTGACATACTTTGGACATGTGGTAAGGAGGGACAGGTCCTTGGAGAGGGACATCATGCTTGGGAGTGTGGAGGGACAGTGCAGGAGGGGAAGACCCTCTATGAGATGGATTGATTCAGTGACTGGGGTTATCAGGATGGGTGTGTCAGAGGCAGTGCAATTGGCACAGGATAGAGCAGGGTTTAGGGCTGTTTTACATTGTGTCGCTATGAGTTGCAAATGACTCAACGGCGCACAACAACACTTATTAAATCTTGGTGGTAGATGTATAAGTATTCACGACTTTTTCCACTTCTCTGTATGTTTGAGATTTTTCATAAGTTGGAAAAAATATGGCTTATATATGAACATCAGTATCTTGATTTCACAATGAATCTTGCATAGCTGAGAGGAGTCCTAAGATACATGGCAGACCTCAAAACATTACAGTAGTCATTCTCGTATTTGGCTCCACTGCTATCTCAACAAGGTTCCTATTTAAATATTCTGCATCATTCAAAAGAAAGGACCAATGTAAACCTCATACTATCATTTAGTTGATAAGAGAAACAGCATTGCATGACTCAAAAAACACACACGTAGGGGAGCTCTGGTGGCCTAGTGGCAAGAAGCTGCACTGCAATCCCAGAGGCACATGGTTTGAATCCACCAGATGCTCTGCCGGGGAAGGAGGGACAATCTCCTCCTGTACCAGTCAGATCTGATTTGACGGCACACACACACACACACACACACACACACACACACACAAATAAAATTTAAAAAAAGATAAAAAAAACCCACACATGTTACCCAACTACTTGCTGAAAACCTATATAATTAATTTCCCTGAGTGCTGTAAATGGTTAAGGATTCACCTATTAACTAAAGTTTGGAAGTTCAAGTCTACCCAGAGGAGCCTTGTATGAAAGGCCTGGTGATCTACTTCTAAAAATTCAATTACTGAAAACCCTGTGGAACACAGCTCTCCTCTGACACATAAGTGCATCACCATGAGTGAGAATCAACTGCAACTGGTTTGGTTGTTTCTATAAGATTATATGCTACATGTTAAAATGATCTCACTTTAAACACAATCATCTGTTTGTTTATATCTGACAAATATTGTAACAGAAATATTCCAAGTCAGCATTGTGTGGTCATGAACATTTTTCTTCTTTTACAGGAACATGCCCATACCTTACTTGACAAACAATGAGAAACAAACATACTTGTTGGGTTAAACTCCTCCTGTGTGATTCACTGACAATCACTGCTGCCAAATCACAGCTAATCTTCCAGTAGGTTTCAACGGCAGTAAAATCACATGAAAGAAGATTGCCCATTGCAGGTGGTGGGTTCAAATCACTTGTCATTGGGTTGGCAGCACAACTTTTTACCCAAGAGGCCAACAAAGCTCCCTACTGTGTGACTTACAGCCTCAGAAACTCACTGGAGCATTAGCTATGCATCTGACTAGGGCAAGGAATTAAGATTTGAAAGGCAATATTCTATAAGGCCACATGATGGCGATATTACTTCAATAAAGTAATTTCTTGACCATTCCTCCTCTTCCACTTTCATCAATTGTATGTAAGATCAATAATTATTAATTACATAAAATATAATGTATGGTAATAATTGTATGAAACACAAGGTAAATAAAATATTGTGTAAAATATAATGTATGTGAATGAAACAATGTATCTGAATTACTTTATGCAAACCAATAAAAAGGGAAAAAAATTTAAAAAATAGTATGTAAGAGTATAATTCTATCTCATATTATCAATAAATGGATTTGTTACCCATTAATAAATGTTGGTATAATTAATTTTTAATCTTCAGCGTCATTCCTTTCAATTTTGTGCTACCTATACATTGCTAGGTATATATTTAATGTTAGCAATAAAATGTAGAACAAGAGATGAACAAAAATGACCTTACAGGCCTTCATCACTCTTTGGGCCTAAAATCAAAGTCACTCCAGGACCCAACCGTTTAGCCAAACAATAGATAGGCCTATAGTGATCAAGGAGACCAAGGAGGTACAAATTCCTTCAGACAAGCAACCATGTAAGATCAAAAGACTAGCATTTGCTCAAAGACAAAGCTCAGAAGGAAGGAAGGGATAGCAAAGAAGGATGAATGCAAATGGGGAAACACAGGGAGGCAGGGGGACGAGTGAGGCTATGTAAGAAGGGTAATCAAAGTCATGAAACAATATGTATGAACTGCTGATCTAAATCACCACCTGTAGCAGAATCATCACCTGTACTAGCCACCCCAGAGGAAATCGCTGAGATGCAAAGGAAAAATGAGCTGAAACTCAAGATAAAGGAAGAACATCTTGGTGCTTTGCACTTTGAAGGCTGCAACACTTCCATGATACATCTTCAAGGATATGAGCATGTGCGGCTAAGCACAATTGATAACAGTGCATCTAAATTCCAAAATCAATCTCCATAATAGTCTATGTGTTTCCTACTGCCAAAGGGGCCCTTTAGAGTAGTGAGAGAAGACCTTCACCCTGAAACCCACAGCGTCCCTTTTCAGCAGGAAGTAGCTAAGAGAATATGCCATCCCCTTTTCCTTATGAATCAGGGTGAAGTCTCTCTCAGGGAGGAGTGATAGGGAATGAATAGCAAGGGACACACTGACAAAGGATATTAATCAGAACTGGCTTTGACAAGCACTGTGGCAATTGGACAATTAAAACAGAAATGGGGCGGG